GGAGTAGGAGAACAGTTTGCTGACAACTGTAGAGCTAGCACAGATTTAGGACACCATGTTGCCAAATGCAAAGCTCCTTCAGGCATGAGTGAAGGATCCCCAGCTGGATCTGTCCTTCGGGATGCAACGGATGTCAGTCTTTCAAATTAATGATTCCCTTTCCTGGAAACCAATAGCTTGTTGCAACTATGGGAGCTTAAAGTTCATGTGCAGTCCTAAGACAGACTAGAGGTCATGCTGAATTCTTTTATCTGGAAGAAACATATGAGTTTTGTAAGATGATCAAAAATAGAGGGTTCGGTTTAGTTGCATTGAGCCCCTTTATAGACAGAGTTCTCATTTAGTCTTACAGACATCTTAGTGAGTATGTACATGGCAGCAGACCACATCAGGACTTCTTTGATGCAGACTTCAGCAGGAACACGTCTCACAGCAGAAGTGCTGTTTCCAGTGCTGCATTTCTGTATATAAATAACATGGTAACACAAACAGGGATGCTCTTGTGTGGTGAATTTATCAGGCTCGTCAGCTCAGACAAAAAAAAAAAATAAAAAATCAGAGCTCTGAAGGATGCAAGACAAACCCCTACAGTTCCACAAAAACATCTTGAAGAAAGGGAAAGACAAAGATCATCTGTAGCACACTGGGATCTCAAATCAAATCCTACTCACTCAGGTGAAACGATTTTTCAGTTTCAGCTCTAGGTCTTGGAGATGCTGGATATATGCATTTTTAGGGCTTACAAACCCTTAACTTTCACAGTTTAAAGGAGATAAGTAAAAAAAGGCCAGTGATTAAGGCTACGTGTATTCAAACAAGAGCTACTGAAATGTGGAACACGTCAGTAATCAAAAAAAGGACCAAATAAGTCACCCTAAAAGCAATTTTCAGTGAAAACTGAAGGTTAAAATACACCATATTGCACTGTGAGCTCTGACAAGTACAAATATTAATTGAAGAGAAGCCACACAGTTTTGTTGTGCTCACTGGATATGTGAGGCCAATTCAGCTTGTCAATGTGCCTACAGATTGCATACAATCTAGATTTTGTTTACTTTGTTTGTTTTGTTTTTCTCAGAAGGTGCAGGGAGAGTTCAAGAACAATCTAAATTTCTTTAGCCTGCCTATTTTTTATATCCAAAGTTATCTATTGCACAACAGGCAGGAATTAGTATTTGTTGTTAATGATTTAAAATGCCAGATCTTATTATGCAAGTGCCTGAACCCACAGACTAAAATGTTCTGAACACTTTTCTGCAATTCTAGAAAGAATTTACAGAGTAAAGTAGGAATAAAAAAACCCAAACCAAACCAAAACAAAAAAACAAACAAAAAAAAAAAACCAACAACAACAACAACAAAAACAGCCAACCAACAAAAACACCAAAAGAACACAACAAGGGGGTGGAAAAGACTGTGATTAACCATTCAATTTTAATCCCTGCTCTAAGGCAGGATCCACTACTCTACTACACAAGGTTTGTCCAACTTGTCCTTAAAAATCTCCACCAGCAAAGCCTCTCCTGATGTCTGCACAGCCTTGTCCACCTTCTCAAGGAGGCCCAGGGGTGACCTCATTACTCTCTACAACTTCCTGAAAGGAGGTTGTAGCCAAGTGGGGGCTGGTCTCTTCTCCCAGGTAACAAGTGACAAGACACGAGGAAATGACCTCAAGCTGTGCCAGAAGAGGTTCAGGTTGGACATTAGGAAGGATTTCTTCACAGAAAGGGTTGTTAAACACTGGAATGAATTATCCAGGGAAGTGGCCGAGTCACTGATCCTGGAGACGTTCAAGAAACAACTGGATGTGACACTCGATACCATGGTCTACTTAACAAGGTGGTGTTTGGTCACAGGTTGGACTCAAGCTCAGAGATTTTTTTCTCTAACATAAATGATTTTATCATTCTCCCTTTATCACTCAGAAAGGTTTTCCTAATGCCTAACCTGGACAAGTCTTCTGCTCAGCTATACACAAAATGAGGGCTACCATATGTTCATGTCTCTTAAATCCTATCTGTTTATGAGGGCAGATTGTTTGGGCTGCAGTAAAGTTAGAGAGACAGGATGCCCTGCAGAGAAGCCATTCTGATTTCTGTTCCCAAAGACAACATTAAATCCTGAATGAGCCTTTTGCCCTTCCCCTCATAGGAATGAAATGCAGTCTTGCCACCACTGCAGCTGTGGGTCAACACTGACTGTCTGTGGTGGTAATACATGGTTATCACTAGGCTTTGCTTCAGAAAGGGAGACAACTGCAGTCTGTACTGCAAGGGAAGAGAAGCTAAAGGCTCTGTACCCAAAAAGCCAAGGACAAGACAAATAATCACACCTGTAAGCACCAACCCAAGCTCCTCACAGCATGGTGGAGCAGCAAGCAGAGATAGCCCTAAAGCAGGATTCATGTGTTACCTCCATTATGGATTCAACCTGGCAGAGCCCTGTAAGCTGGCTCAAAGTTCCTTGGCCTGCACCACCACAGGCTTCCAGACCCAGCTAATGTGCAGTCTGCCTACTGGCACACTAAAGGCTCCTGGATGCTGCCAGCTCACTGCACATGCCCTGCAGAGCACACACAGTCTCCTGCCTGTCTCTGAGAAACTCCTGGCAGCCCTCCAGGAGCCACCACTTTCTGACTGCAAAATGCTGGCAGGGTCTGACTGTCATCATTAAAGCATTTTACCTCTCATGTTTCACTCTGCTGTTCTCCAAGAAAGAGAGGATGATTATCCATTCCCCTTGGGGTTTGTAAGGAACCAGATGAATTAACACACCTGAGGTGCTGCAAGCCCTTCACTAGGTGACCAAAGAAGTATTTTACAAGTAACTCCTAATTCAGTGACTCCTATTTCAATGACTCCTATTTTACAAGTGGATCTAATTCAGAAGTGGTTTCCTGCTCCTCCTGTTGGCTGCAGAACAATATTCAATCATGTTTTCACAAGCTTGTGAAAGAGGGTTTGGAGATTCTCGGTACCCTCCACCACCCATGAGTGCCACCTCCTTTGCACAGAGCGGGTGCAGCACTGTTGAGCAGCAATGTGAAGCAGGTTCCTTGGGTTGAATCATAGCAGTCCAGTGCCCAGAGGAGAGATTTCCCCAGTGCTCTTCCAAAATGTAGTGGAAAGGCACCTGGTTTTTTTGTAATCCATGAAGAGTGTTTTCTTCCATTTGTTCTGATCCATCAAAAGGACATTAAAAGAATGTTGTTAAAAATACCCAATTTTGGCCAAAACGAAAGGGAAAATGGGGGAGTAAGAGACAGCAGTGTGTGGTTTGGGGATGAGGGCACCGAATTGAGGAGTACCATTTCTAAACCACAATACCACCTCAAAAGTTTCACAGAGATTTCTTTTCCAGGTGATTGTTTTCCAACTTGTTTAGTCCCTGTTGCAGAATTTGCCAGAGCATCTTAAAGCAGAGAAGAGCAGCTTGAAAGATTTTGTTTAGCATAGTTATTCCTTCTCAGTGATTGACAGCATACACAGCATTTTCAAGAGGCTGATCTATGTCAAACCTTCATGTCACCCTTGTGTCCCTGCCTGGCATGAGCTTATTCCATGCAATTTGTGTAAGGCTCTGTCTTAGATTGCCAAGCAATATGTATTCTATTTACCATCTGTTAGAGGTATAGCAGTTGTTTTCTGTTAAGTGGGCAGTTTTCCTTATCTCTTCCACAACCAATCCTCCCTCTGAGGAGACATCTGCTGTTAATAAGCCATTGAATGTCACTGCATGAGTGATAAGAATTACAGCATCCCATTGTGAGATGTTCCGCTCAGAGAGAAGAGCCAAACATTCCCAACTAGATATAATCTGAGATCTTAAAACACCAAAACAACATTTCCACTAGACTCCCAGAAAAACAACTACTTCTTACACTAAATCTTCAAAGAAAGACTACACCCTTTTCTACAAAATCACTACTCCAACAAAACCACACCTGCTACTCCAGGAAAACTGCAGCCACAATTCCAATTAAACTACTACCAACACCCTGACCCACAAAGTGTCAAGCTGTATACTGACTCTGTCAGGGTTGTTTTAATTTACTGCGTTGTTTTTTGCCTTTTTTTTTTTTTTTTCATTTTCTTCCCTAATAAAAGAACTGTTATTCCTGCTCCCAAATCTTTTTTTCAGTTTCCAGTTCAAGAAAGGCTCCTACACTCCTTAACAGACACTGTCTTTCCAAACCAAGACAGGCTCCCTGCTATTCAGCTGTACCACTGGCAGGGACTGGTTCCAGTCACATACGCAAATGAAACAAACAAACAAAAAAAATTATGCACAAAATTTCACTTGGTACAGGTCTGAAGAGAGAAATTTGGTCAGTTATTTATTTCTTGGCACTGATGAGTGCCAAGACTTTTAATTTCCTTATGGGGTGAAGACTGAAAACAGAACTTCTGACACCAATGGGATTAGACATAAATAAATCCACTCTAACCAAATCAGCCTGGGATGTCCTATATCCCAAATTGATTTTGCATCTTTGTTTCTTTCTCAGTATATCATCTTCAAGAGGTAGATATTTGGCATGCAGGTGATGCATTAATCAAAAGCTACTGTGACAGTACAGGCACAACCATCTGGAAAAGCCCACATGTCCCAGCACAGTGCAAAAGACAGCAACACATTTACTGGAGTTTCAAAACCAAAATAAGTAACATTATTTTCCAGAGAAGGCCAGCAGCCAGCCCTCAACAGAAGGGTCACAGCAAAAGCAAAAGCAGGCTGCAGCTGGTCACTGGCACACACAAGGCTGCTCTCCAGTTCTACTGGGTACCTCTGGGGATGCCACCTGGCACCATCTAGCATGTGGAGGCCTCTTTTACCAGGCTGTAGAGATGTGTACACATTGGAGCAGGGGGAGGCTGCTGGGTCAGCTTGGGCACAGTATCCTCCCAAATGCCACTGGGACACCTCAGAGGCGCATAGCTCTTTGACACAGTGTCCTGGTTTAGGACAAATTAGGGGAAATCTCCAAAAGGGAGCAAGCAGCCAAAAGCAAAGGCCAAGGTGCCTGGTCACACTCACACCCCTCCCTCCCTCCCCGCCCCGCCGCGGCAAGACGGCCGGGGAGGAAAAGGCGCAGCTGCCAGACACAACACACGATATTGGGATAAAGGCTGTCACCCCACGACACACAGTACAGCTCACCAGGCACCAGGGGTTGCCATTTTCAAGAGGGGACTCCATTTATGACTATATATTCTCCAGAAACCTGCCTGACATACTGGGGTAAAACAGAACCCCAGGAGGAACAGTGAGGTTTCTATGGTCCCAACAGAACCTGCCCTTATCTAATAGAAACCCATTTTTCACTGAGCTTTGGCAAACAAAAAACCCAAACTGTTTTCTGTTTTAATGAATTATGACAGTTGTTCTTCTCCCTTTCCTTTCCTTGACCTCACCACACATTAAGGTGAGCAGAGAGTCCCAATGCAACCCTAACACTCCCTTCCCATCTGCCTGCACTATACCCTGAATGGCTACATGGGCAAATAGACTAAGAGCCACTGTAGGTCTAGGAAAGATGTTCAACCTTCAGAAAAGGGGACTGAGCACTCAAAGGCACTAAGAGATTCACTGAGATGCACAAAGGCACTAAGAGATGTATGACAGTGAGGGACTTGAAGTGCAGCAGGAAGCACTGAGGCTGGACATTTAGAAGAAACTTTCTTTAAGTGGTGCCTTACACCAGGTCATTTACCAGTCACTAAACACAGATGAGGAAAGGAGAAAGAAAACTAAGCCAAGAAAAATAATGGAAAGAAAAAAGACAAAAAAAAATCCAAGCAAACAAACAAACAAAAAAAACAACAACAACAACAAAAAAAAAACCACACACAAACCAACAAAACCAAAACAAAACAAAAAAAACCAAACCAAAACAAAAAAACCCAACAACAAATCAATCAACTTTTAAAGCTTCAAAAGCTAATTATCACAACTTCATCTAGGGCTGGGACACACCTTCCTGCTTTATTTCATTGATTCCAAGAGACTTTTAGTCCAGAGGATGTATCAAAAGTAATGCCTCCATTTTTTTAGTGGAAACCAGCCAGGAAAGAAAACAGAAAAATCCATGCATGCATCTATAATAAGTTGTGGTGAGCATGAAATAAGAATAGCAAGTCAGGTAACCTTCATATTTTGCAGGAATGGAGCTTCCATTCCCTTCCACAAGCTAAACATGCTATCCCAAAAAGATTTTCTCATGGGAAAAAGTAAGCAATCAGGAATGGAAACAAACTGGTTGGAACTGATTATGTTGCTAACTCTGAGATGACTTCAGACAATGACTTCGTTTGGGGCAACCTTGGGGAATGTGACAAAACAAAGTATTTGAGTATAAATGCAAAGCACACCATTTTGAAACCAAGGCTGACTGTCAACAATAAATATATATGCATGCATATATACACATAGATACATACACCACAACAGTCGACTACTTTATGGGCTTAAGATGGAAAGAAAAACATCCATATTGAATCACCCAATTAAAAAAGTGAGACAGGATAGAAGGAATTGGATTGCTTTTCAAAACCACATTTGTGTTGTATGATTTTTTTTGTGGTGAAATTCAAGATTTTGCAATTTTTGGGAGAACATGCAGACTAAACATTGACTCTCCAGAAATAAACATAAACCCTAAATAAAACCAAAAGCATTATATGAAGTCTATTTTAAATAAGGGACAATAAAATTTTATTTTTTTAAAAGGATAAATGAAGTTGGTGTAAGTGTGGTTGCTTTCAGACTCACCTGCAGGCATGCATCCACCAAATTTTAAATGGTCTTTAAATCCAGCTACAAATCAACTTTGACAATTCCACCTAGATGAACAGATAAAATACACTGACCTTTCCTTTAATTAACAGAGGATATGTTAAATAGCATCTGTGGAAGGCCCCTTCAGAACAAGCATGCAAGACACACATACTCTATCCAAACCTACTCCATTTAAAAAGGGCAAACAATCCCAGGGGGATGGGGGAGGGCAGGAACTATCTGTGATACTGACTAATAGCTTTAAATATAAAGTTCAGTGGGGTAGGAACAGCTATTTTAGGGTTGAAGGAAGGTCAGCAGAACACAAGACAAGCATTGGTGTCCCAAGGCTCTTGTAAGGATGCTGAACTTGACAAGGCTTTTTAGGAAAATGCATTTTTACTAAAGAGATGCTGGCAGAGGACTTCATAATGATTAAATGCATTAAATGAAGGACTCCCTTTTTGATTAGCAATGTGACTTCTCTACTGCTTGGAGCTGTGTTATCAGGAATCTTTTTCATAATAAGCAGCAGAAAAAAGATGGAATTTTTACTTTTAGGATTTGGAGGTTCTTTATGGGGGGAGGGAGAACTTTTGGGTTTGTTTTAAGTTAAATGAAATAATATTTTAATGTATACGTGCAAATAAAGTGATAATTTTCTTTTGAAAAGAAGACAAAAAAAAAGCTTTAAATGCACTGACTTTCGTGGTCAAACTAAGGGTTAGGACACACTCTAAACACAGGTGCAGGAGCTAATCTCTTCCACTCTCTATGCAAGGAGACTATCTAGCCATGCCATCCATAGCTCTAGTTTCTCTACAGCTGGTAAGTGCAATACTTACTGTGAAGGTGGTGAGGCACTGGCACAGGATGCTCAGAGCTGTGGCTGTCCCATCTCTGGAAGTGTTCAAGGCCAGGCTGGATGTGGCTTTGAGTAACCTGGTCTAGTAGAAGGTGTCCCTCCCCATGGAAGGGCGTTGGAACTAGATCATCTTTTAAGTTCCTTCCAACCCAAATCATTCTGTGTTTCATACAGAATTGAAAAGGGGAACAGCATACTATTATTTTATTTTTTATTTTAGCAGTTTTGCATTGTCTGCTGCACTGCCTGACTTCCCTCAGTTCTGCATGTTCACAGTAAAGAAATTAGATAGATTTTGCTCTTGGCAATCTTAAAATAAGTATGTATGTCACTTACCCCTTCATGGCTGCACACCACTGATGCCAGCATTGGTGTCACTGCCTTTCAAGAGATTCCACAAGACCAACCTGTGCCCAGTTGATAAACTGAGCCAGGTTATCAGCAGTGCCACAGAACTCCCAGCAAGCTGTTTAAATTTTATCTGCTCTCAGTACCCTCCCAGGTGCTGATAAGGCCCAGCAGCTTCCTGGAGCACAGCTGCTCCCAGAATAGGTCTTCTGAGAGCGCACAGACAACACTGCCCACTCTGCTTGAAAAAGAAGAGTCTTGCTCTGATGGAGATCCCAGCTGACCACTTGGACAGGTGTTTGGGTAGCACAGCTCAGTAGAGTTTCTTCAACTAGAGAGCAGTAATACACTGGGCTGTCTGCAAGGAAGGTGCAGCTCAGACCTTCTGCTCCTTCAGACCCAGTGCCCAAGAGCTGCTCTTATTTGAATCAGCTTTTGAAGGACTCCAGTGTGGGCCTTTCCATGTCAAGTAAAATCAACCTTTTCTTAATACCACTTCCAGGGCTGAGAAGGTACTTTCAGAATTCCACGAAAAACATTGGTTTATTTTCCCAGACTTTTTACAACTAAGTTTAGAGTGAAGGATCTAATTGTCTTGCTGGTTCCCTTCAAGGATTAATTACACAGTAACCTGCACCCTTAATGAGGATATTTGTGACTCACATTTCTGAGCACATAAACACGAATTGGAAGAGATTCAGTTCTGCTAAAAGTCACACAGCCCAGGATGTGGAAAACTATCACTGGACAGCTGCATTAAACAGAAATAAAGCACAACTGAGGAAAATTAAACTTCACGTTACTTGTTCCTTGAGGTAACTGCAAAGACAATATTCTGCTTTACCTTAAATAAATCCAAGAAATGGAGAGTGAATATGGACCACCAAACTGCACAACTGTAAACATAGTGCAACATAGTTTTTCAGTGAGTGAAGTCTTTACGTTTGAAAGAATCTAGGACATTGCTGGTACTCTTGATCTCTACCATGATATTCTTGCAGTCCAACTATCACCATGGCTTTTGATCTTTTACCAAAAATTTGAAGTTTTCAAAGGAAGCAGGAAGTTGACCCATGCTATGTGAAGAGATGAAGCAAGTATTTTCCAAGTCTAAACTTAATGTCTATTGCTTTGCTTTCTGCAGACAGAGAAGACTGCATTCTTACCCATCTGTTCTAATTTTTTTTAGTCCTACATGTCTATGTGTGAAATCTTGAAAAAATTGAGAGATTTAGCTGCCACTTTTTACTTATACCAAAGGGATTTAGGTAGGTCTGCTAAAAATTACTGTCCATGACTTACTAAAAGTAATTGTGGCTGCTATGACTGAGGAATTGTCATCCTACATAATCTCTTGAAGACAAACCTCAATGAACAGCGAATGAAACTGTTTTTTGGGACTCAACAACAGTAAAGAGGCTATGAGGGTCAGCACATCAGTGAAGCACAATAATTGTTTCACTGTGCTTATTATCTAGTGCCTAAAGAAAGTGAGAACACTCACCTGTTAAACAAGCAGTGATAAGCTGCCAGAGCCATTTTGTGCACTAGAGAAGATACAGTTCTCTACAATACTGCTCCTGGAGGACAGGGGAATTTCAACCAGCCTAGGTGTCTCATGCATAACAATCCAAGGACAAAGGGCAAAAATGAGAGGTTCCCACCCAAACTCTTCACTGTGATGTACCACAGTCTGCTCCATGTCCTTGTTCTGCACAGGTGGAAGATAGTCTCTACCTGATGTTTAGCTCAGGCTACAACTACCTGTGGTTTGATTTTATCAGTGTCCATAAGTACCCAAAAGTGGGTATCAAGAAGAAGGATCCAGGCTCTTCTAGGTGGTGCCAAGCAACAGGACAAGAGGCAATAGGCAGCAACTGATGCACAGAAGTTCCCCCTGAATAAGAAGAATTTCTTTAGTGTGCAAGTGACCATGCACTGGAACAGACTGCCCAGTGAGGCTGTGGAGTCTCCTTCACTGAGGATATTCATGAACCATCTGGACACAATCCTGTGCCCTGTGCTCTGGAGTGACCCTGCTTGAGCAGGGAGGTTGGACCAGATGACCCACTATGGCTCCTTCCAGCCTGACTCACTGTGATTTCCAGAAGTCGATGTGATGAGCTGTGGCCCACTGGGGACAGTGGCATTTCTCAGGCCAGGTTATTGTTGAATAGTGGGAATTGATGCTATTCCACAACCAGGGCTCATTCTCAGTCCATCTGCACAGAAACACCTGGAGAATATGGAAGCACCCAGCACCTTGCCTTCACTGACAGTCCTATTTCATGCAGCTCCAGCCCTAACACACACCCTCTACACACCTAAGCCTTGCTCATTTCCTTTCCCTATCCAACCATTCCTGTTCTCTGGTCATGATGAGTAAGCAGATTTGTTACAGAAAAGGCCCAGTGTGTGAAACCTTTACTGAGTTTACTAATTTCTTCAGATAAAATGCAAAGAGTTACTACTAACAGTGACATTCTAAGTTGAGATTGTTAACATTAACACAATGAAGATTATGTAAAATATAATATTTTACAAAATAAAATATATTGTCTTCCAGCTGAAGGCTGATACACTGCTGCTTTATGCCTGCATCACTTTTTAGAAACTTCTGCCCCAAAACAAACAGACTTTGCATGTGTAGTTCTCAGCCCTGCAGCTACCTAGCACAGGGAATTCTCATGGATCTTCAAAGACAAAAAGGCAATTTAAGGTGTTAGGACAGACCAGAAATTAACACGCTGTGGCAGCCCTTTTTGAAACTTTTGCCATTTGTAGAGGCAAGATTCGTATATCTCTTGTCTTCTTGCAAAGCAGCAGAGTGATGCCTTTGCAAGGCTGTTTTTCTCCTCAGGATGCAGAAGCAGATCTTTCTCAGATTTTCTTGGATGAAAATTTATCCACCACAAATCTTAAGCAACCCAGAAATTTCTGCTTTTAACAACTGTCATTCTCGTACATAGTGTTCTGCAAGAACTATTGGTACAATAAATGCTGTAAAAAAAGTTTTTGGTATTATACTCTGAGATATGACGTGGATTGACTTGAGTAAACTCTCATACTTTTAAACATTTTCCCCTATTTTCATACATCCCCAGAAAAAAAAATGTTAAGTCTGTAAACTACTTCTTTTTTTCTTCCCTTCTTACCAAATATCAATTAATGCAAAACCAGCACATTTATCTAGATCATAAGAGTTGCAAAACTGAGTCTGATGGCCACTTATATCTGATGGTTCTGCTCTCTTACACATATCCTCCGGCTAACTGCATATATTTCTGAATTCAGAGGTAGGATTAAAAAAGACAATCATCAGTATTAACTATGAGATCCTGATAATAGTAGTCAAAATTAAATGCTGAAACAGAAAACAAAAAAAATTCACAAACAAATATTACACCTTAAGAAAGTTGGATTCATTAGAAGTTTATATTTTTGTTTTCTTCTTCTAGAGTTAAAAAAATTCACAATTGTTCAAGTACACAATTTAAACAACAGTGGCTTATGATTGACACATTTTCAGTCAATTTTCTAAATTGCTTAAACAAAATCAAACAATTCCTACAGTTACAGCAAATCAACAGTCATACGAAGATATCTACAGTGCAGTGTTATAACTTATGCTCTCAGCTTCACAAAATGGCAACGTAATTTATTTAAGTGTCATCTGTGAAGCATGTTGCACTATGATGCAGACCAGTTTTAGGATTCTAGCCATATTCTGCTAAGAGATTTAACAGGAGTAAACCAGGAGATTCGATCTATGGCCTCTCCCAAACAGGGATGCAGATGGCAGTTTCTTCTTGCAAAGACAGCCCCATTTCCAAATCAGCCCAATCAACAGCAGCCTAATGAGGGGCAATGGGATCTATACCACACAATTTGTGTTATGTAAAAGATCATGTGCTGCTAGAACAACAGTGGAAAAAATACGTTTGGCCAGAAGCAAAAAAATCAGCTCTTTTCCTTCCACTTCTGTGACTCATTGAAGAGACACACTCTTAACTAATTGCTTTGGTAGGCCAGCAGGCTGCCTGTGCTTAATGATACTACTAGAAATTCCACAAGCTTTCAGCTTCTAACACTAAGCACTTCCAAAATGTACTTTTTTAGGGTGAACCTCTGAGTTCTTTTTCTTTTCAAAAGATGCTTTTTCTCTCACTTCTTCCCACTAGCTGCTGCATCAGGCATAATACACAAATATGCAACATGTACTTTAAACTGGACACCTGTCTGTCCCAGGAAAACTTAATACTTACAGAGCACCCCTGCTGACAAAATGGCATTCAGAGCAACTCTGAGTTCACAAATAATAGAAAACTACCTCCCTGACATGATTGCTTCAGGCTTCCCACATCCATCCATCCACCTGCACTTTCTCAAAGCTCAATGGCTCTTCGTTTTACAGGTCTGAGTTGTGAACATGCACTGAAATTCCCTTTTCATACTTACAACAGAAAATGAAGAAACTAAACATCAGATAGGATCATATTTGTCCTTCTTCACACTTAATTTGATTCCTCTTTTAGGCTAGGGCAACATGCTTTTCAAATTTGGCAATCCATAAAAAAGAAACAAGCAGACAAGCATTCAGATGGCTGGCTTTTGTCCTGGAGGCTACTTTAAAAAAAATCATGTAACATTTAAAGAAAAGATAACATTGCTGTAATTCAACTAGTTTTCTCCCTTATTTGTCTTATTTGTAGAAAATGTAATTATCAGCTTCCTACAAACAGCTGACATTTTGGTTAGATTGAAGCTGGACTGGGGACAACCAGAGATTTAAATCCAGAACCAGTAAGGGTGTTAACATGCTCAAACTGCAGCTTCCCAAACATCTGCTTAGTAGCCTAACTGTCCACATAAAGGGATTCACTGAGCCAGAGAGGAGCTGTGCATGAACCCTACAATATTGGCCTGGACAGCAGCTTGAACAGGGCAGGCTCAACATCAGATCACTCCCTACAGCTTTTT